CAAACATTAATTTTAGTCATGTTTAAGAAGAGCCTCCCAAGCACATGTAGGGGGAATATGCATCAGTTGTTTTGGATTTTGATTCTGAATTTCCTGTGCACTCCAGTTAAAGGGGCAATCAGCAGTTAACCAAGGACATGGTTTAATTCTTGGATTGGGTCTGGAGCATTCCACTGCACAAGGAAGACCGAGCCTATGTAGAAAGGCAGGGAGTTTTCTCCTCTCCCCCTCTCCTCTCTCCCCCATTTCCTCCCTTCAGTTATTGTACACCACCGATTCTGAATTGGGATCCATCCAAGCCAAATGCAGTGATGTAAGAGCTATGACAGCAAATAGAGGCAAAATATAATTAGCAAAGTCAGGCTCAATGACATAGAAACAATGGAGTTAGGTGGATCAGATAAGCCCAACCAACCAAGCAACGGCCAGATCTAGACATCGCTATAGCAAGGGATGAAAGGATGTTTATCGTGTAGGCTCTATGATAATATCGCATTGGTTATTGCAAATTAACTTTGATTTCATACTACGTGTTCACTTGTGTATGCTTTATTACATAACGAAATGATATGTTCTAAATGCAAATAGCTCTTAACAGCCTCTTAGGAATAGCCTATCCCACATGTTTCCAATTAAACCCATACCATCGTGTAGTATCTGTCGTTTTAAAGCTCACACATTGTGGGATATGAGCACCAATCCATTTTTTTTGTTTAGGATGATCCAGAAATTAAAACACAGTCTGAACATAATATGATAAAACCAGTTGCAGAGAGAGTGACTTAATTATTTGTAGCATCTAAATAGGTCACCAGTAGTAATTATAAGGAGCAAGCCGAGGGAGGAGAGGAGAGAGGAGGAAGAGAGAGGGAATGCCTGCATGGGACTAATCAATGAGGCAGTGGGAGAGTTCCTGAATAATCCTGTCAAAGATCAGTCAGCCCCGCGGTCTACCCGCTCGCTCACACCACACACACCACACTCTCACACATACAGTTGAAGTCGGAGGTTAACATACACCTTAGCCAAATACATTTAAACTCAGTTTTTCACAATTCCTGACATTTAATCCTAGTAAAAATTCCCTGTCTTAGGTCAGTTAGGATCACCACTTTATTTTAAGAATGTGAAATGTCAGAACAATAGTAGAGAGAATGATTTTTTTCAGCTTTCATTTCTTAAATCACATTCCCAGTGGGTCAGACGTTTACATACACTCAATTAGTATTTGGTAGCATTGCCTTTAAATTCTTTAACTTGGGTCAAACGTTTCGGTTAGCCTTCCACAAGTTCCCACAATAAGTGGGGTGAATTTTGGCCCATTCCTCCAGACAGAGCTGGTGTAACTGAGTCAGGTTTGTAGGCCTCCTTGCTCGCACACGCTTTTTCCGTTCTGCCCACAAATTTCCTATAGGATTGAGGTCAGGGCTTTGTGATGGCCGCTCCAATACCTTGACTTTGTTGTCCTTAAGCCATTTTGCCACAACTTTGGAAGAATACTTGGGGTCATTGTCCATTTGGAAGACCCATTTGTGACCAAGCTTTAACTTCCTGACTGATGTCTTTAGATGTTGCTTCAATATATCCACATAATTTTCCTTGCTCATGATGCCATCTATTTTGTGAAGTGCACCAGTCCCTCCTGCAGCAAAGCACCCCCACAGCATGATGCTGCCACCCCCGTGCTTCACGGTTGGGATGGTGTTCTTCGGCTTGCAAGCTACCACCTTTTCCTCCAAACATAACAATGGTCATAATGGCCAAACAGTTCTATTTTTTTTCATCAGAGCAGTGCAGTTGCAAACCATAGTCTGGCTTTTTTATTGCGGTTTTGGAGCAGTGGCTTCTACCTTGTTGAGCGGCCTTTCAGGTTATATATATATAGGACTCATTTTACTGTGGATATAGATACTTTTGTACCGGTTTCCTCCAGCATCTTCACAATGTCCTTTGCTGTTGTTCTGGGATTGATTTGCACTTTACTCACCAAAGTACGTTCATCTCTAGGAGATAGAACGCGTCTCCTTCCTGAGCGGTATGACGGCTGCTTGATCCCATGGTGTTTATACTTGTGTACTATTGTTTGTACAGATGAACGTGGTACCTTCAGGCATTTGGAAATTGCTCCCAAGGATGAACCAGACTTGTGGAGGTCTACAATTTTTCTTCTGAGATCTAGGCTGATTTATTTTGATTTTCCCATGATGTCAAGCAAAGAGGCACTGAGTTTGAAGGTAGGCCTTGAAATACATCCACAGGACACCTCCAATTGACTCAAATTATGTCAATTAGTCCTATCAGAAGCTTCTAAAGCCATGACATCATTTTCTGGAATTTTCCAAGCTCTTTAAAGGCACAGTCAATTTAGTGTATGTAAACTTCTGACCCACTGGAATTGTGATACAGTGAATTATAAGTGAAATAATCTGTCTGGAAACAATTGTTGGAAAAATGACTTGTGTCATGCACAAAGTAGATGTCCTAACCGACTTGCCAAAACTATAGTTTGTTAACAAGAAATGTGTGGAGTGGTTGAAAAACAAGTTTTAATGACTCCAACCTAAGTGTATGTAAACTTCTGACTTCAACTGTACATATACATGTTCATAGATACAGGCACGCAAACATACACACACATGGCAGGCACACAGACACACAGTCACACATTTTCATTACCAGACATTATGAGGAGGAAACACTTTTGACGTAACTCTAATAAGGGGAGAGAAAAGAGAAAAACAACCCTGTGATTTGTTTGTGTTCGAGTGGTGCAGAATCCTACATCACTCACCCTGTCTCTTGCCTCTCTGTTACAATGCATGCACAGACAGTGCCCTGGAGTCAGCCGACTTGACAACTGCATTGGCCCAGGCAGGCAGGCAGTGGATTATGCAAGGCCCAGTTTCATGGTCTGATGGAAAATCACTTCTTTCTCCAGGATTCTATAAGATGTTGCTCAATCATTTATAGCCGGCAGTGCACTGTCTGGCTCTTCGTGTCTGTACTAGTTTTAGTTGAGGGAGCACTGTTTCTGTTTTTTTTTTCACTGTAAAACAACATTGTTTTATATGAATATTTTTACTCTATTCTATTTATTGTTTCTCATTGTGGTCAGTAGTAGTAAGTTGACTTTGTATTCTGGTTGTTTTATTTGGACAGCTTCTTTTTATATATATTTTTTTTATTTTTCACCTTTATTTAACCAGGTAAGCCAGTTGAGAACAAGTTCTCATTTACAACTGCGACCTGGCCAAGATAAAGCAAAGCAGTGGGGTAAAAACAACAACAACACAGAGTTACACATGGGTAAACAAAACGTACAGTCAATAACACAATAGAAAATCTATATATAGTGTGTGCAAATGTAGTAAGTTATGGAGGTAAGGCAATAAATAGGCCATAGTGCAAAATAATTAAAATGTATTATTAACACAGGCGTGATAGATGTGCGAAGATGATGTGCAAATAGAGATACTGGGGTGCAAATTAGCAAAATAAATAACAACATGGGGATGAGGTAGTTGGATTGGCTAAGTACAGATGGGCTGTGTACAGGTGCAGTGATCGGTAAGCTGCTCTGACAACTGATGCTTAAAGTTAGTGAGGGAGTAATAGTCTCCAGCTTCAGAGATTTTTGCAGTTCGTTCCAGTCATTGGCAGCAGAGAACTGGAAGGAATGGCGGCCAAAGGAGGTGTTGGCTTTGGGGATGGCCAGTGAGATATACCTGCTGGAGTGCAGACTACGGGTGGGTGTTGCTATAGTGACCAATGAGCTAAGATAAGGTAGGGATTTGCCTAGCAGTGATTTATAGATGACCTGGAGCCAGTGGGTTTGGCGACGTATATGTAGTGAGGGCCAGCCAACGAGAGCGTACAGGTCACAATGGTGGGTAGTATATGGGGCTTTAGTGACAAAACGGATGGCACTGTGATAGACTACATCCAATTTGCTGAGTAGAGTGTTGGAGGCTATTTTGTAAATGACATCGCCGAAGTCAAGGATCAGTAGGATAGTCAGTTTTACGAGGGCATGTTTGGCAGCATGAGTGAAGGAGGCTTTGTTGCGAAATAGGAAGCCGAGTAAACTTGGAGTCACTTTTATTGTAAATAAGAATATAATATGTTTCTGAATACTTCTACATTAATGTGAATGCTACCATGATTATGGATAATCATAAATGAATCATGAGTAATGATGAGTGAGAAAGTTACAGATGCACAAAGTTCATGTCCCCAAGACATGTTAACCTCTCACCATTACCAATAACAGGGGAGGTTAGCATTTTTGGGGGGGTATGATATTTATTATCCATAATCATGGTAGCATCCACATTAATGTAGACGTGTTCAGAAACATGTTCTATTCGTATTTTCAATAAAAGTGACTCCAAAATGACACTGATATATGACTTACCATTAGTTTCTATTGGGCACAACATAAACCAAAATTAACTGGCAATGCATCTAACAAGTTTGTAGAGTCACACACTTGATGTAGTCACTTTGTGCTCGGAAAATGGGTCCAAATTGTAAACGTTTGACTAAATGTAATACTTTATAAGTGAATTTAGCCAAATACTTATGACACCTTCAAATGGGGGTACGAGATACATTCTTTCATTTCTAAACGGTAAAACAGATATGTATGAAAATACCCCCAAATAAAAGGTGTTATTCTGTACCGCCACCTCATATAAAGAAATGTGATCTAAATCCAAAATACTAACGTATAGAGCCAAATTAAATGTTTATCTTCACTGTCCAAATAAATACATAGGGGAGTGTATTTGTGGCATACATCTTAGGTTTACAATATAGTATTTACAATGGTAATGATTCAATCAACACATTATTTGTATGCCTTATTGATGATTGTGTGCCTACAAGTGTTAATGTTGAATTAATAATCTTCGAGACACATACACATGAATTACATTTTTGACTTGCAGTTTCCTTCTATATTCTTCATAAAATGCCCTGTCTCTCTCCCTTCCTCAGATGGGTACACCACTGATGACATAGAGTTCTACTGGCGAGGAGGTGACAATGCTGTGACGGGGGTGGAGAGAATAGAACTCCCCCAGTTCTCCATTGTGGACCACAAACTCATCTCCAAGAATGTTGTCTTCTCTACAGGTGATGTCTTATGCCCCAAATGCCCCTAATGAAGCTTCTCTCATTAACGTATCCCTATAGCTAGGTACAGATACACGCGGTAATTGAGGTAATATGTACATGTAGGTAGAGTTATTGAAGTGACTATGCATAGATAATAAACAGAGAGTAGCAGCAGCGTAAAGGGGGGGGGGGGGGGGGGGGGGAAGCTGTTTAGAAGCCTCTTGGACCTAGACTTAGCGCTCCGGTACTGCTTGTCGTGCGGTAGCAGAGAGAACAGTCTATGATTAGGGTGGCTGGGCCTTCCTCTGACACTGCCTGGTATAGAGGTCCTGGATGGCAGGAAGCCAGTGATGTACTGGGCCGTACGCACTACCCTCTGTAGTGCCTTGCGGTCGGAGGACGAGCATTTGCCATACCAGGCAGTGATGCAACCAGTCAGGATGCTCTCAATGGTGCAGCTGTAGAACCTTTTGAGGATCTGGGGACCCATGCCAAATCTTTTCAGTCTCCTTAGGGGGAATAGGTTTTGTCGTGCCCTCTTCACGACTGTATTGTTGTGCTTGGACCATGTTAGTTTGTTGGTGATGTGGACTTGAAGCTCTCAACCTGCTCCACTACAGCCCCGTCGATGAGAATGGGGGCGTGCTCAGTCCTCTTCTTTTTCCTGTAGTCCACAATCATCTCCTTTGTCTTGATCACGTTGAGGGAGAGGTTGTTGTCCTGGCACCACACGGCCAGGTCTCTGACCTCCTCCCTATAGGCTGTCGAGTCGTTGTCAGTGATCAGGCCTACCACTGTTGTGTCATCGGCAAACTTAATGATGGTGTTGGAGTCGTGACTGGCCATGAGGTCATGAGTGAGCAGGGAGTACAGGAGGGGCCCCCGTGTTAAGGATCAGCGTGGCGGATGTGTTGTTACCTACCCTTCCATTACCACCTGGGGTGCGGCCCGTCAGCAAGTCCAGGATCCAGTTGCAGAGTGAGGTGATTAGTCCCAGGGTCCTTAGCTTAATGATGAGCTTTGAGGGCTGATCTGTAGTCAATGAATAGCATTCTCACATAGGTGTTCCTTTTGTCCAGGTGTGAAAGGGCAGTGTGGAGCGCAATAGAGATTGCATCATCTCTGGATGTGTTGGGCCGGTATGCAAATTGGAGTGGGTCTAGGGTTTCTGGGATAATGGTGTTGATGTGAGCCATGACCAGCCTTTCAAAGCACTTCATGGCTACAGACGTGAGTGCTACGGGTCGATAGTCATTTAGGCAGGCTACCTTAGTGTTATTGGGCACAGGGACTATGGTGTTCTGCTTGAAACATGTTGGTATCAGACAGGGAGTTGTTGAAAACGTCAGTGAAAACACTTGCCAGTAGGTCAGCACATGTTCGGAGTACACGTCCTGGTAATCCGTCTGGCCCTGCGTCCTTGTGAATGTTGACCTGTTTAAAGGTCTTACTCACGTTGGCTACGGAGAGCGTGATCACACAGTCGTCCGGAACAGCTGATGCTCTTATGCATGTTTCAGTGTTACTTGCCTCGAAGCGAGCATAGAAGTAATTTAGCTCGTCTGGTAGGCTCGTGTCACTGGGCAGCTCGCAGCTGTGCTTCCCTTTGTAGTCTGTAATAGTTTGCAAGCCCTGCCACATCCGACGAGCGTCGGAGCCAGTGTAGTACGATTCGATCTTAGTCCTGTATTGACGGTTTGTCTGTTTGATGGTTCGTCGAAGGGCGTAGCGGGATTTCTTCTAAGCTTCTGGGTTAGAGTTCCACTCCTTGAAAGCGGTAGCTCTACCCTTTAGCTCAGTGCGGATGTTGCCTGTAATCCATGGCTTCTGGTTGGGGTATGTACGTACAGTCGCTGTGGGGACGACGTCATCGATGCACTTATTGATGAAGCCAATGACTGATGTGGTGTACTCCTCAATGCCATCGGAAGAATCCCGGAACATATTCCAGTCTGTGCTATTAAAACAGTCCTGTAGCTTAGCATTTGCTTCATCTGACTACTTTTTATTGACCGAGTCACTGGTGCTTCTTGCTTTAGTTTGTGCTTGTAAGCAGGAATCAGGAGGATAGAATTATGGTCAGATTTGCCAAATGGAGGGCGAGGGAGAGCTTTGTACGCATCTCTGTGTGTGGAGTAAAGGTGGTGTAGAGTTTTTTTCCCTCTGGTTGCACATTTAATATGCTGATAGAAATGAGGTAAAACTGATGTAAGTTTCCCTGCATTAAAGTCCCTGACCACTAGGAGCGCCGCCTCTGGATGAGTGTTTTCCTGTTTGCTTATGGCCCTATACAGTTAATTGAGTGCGGTCTTAGTGCCAGCATCGGTTTGTGGTGGTAAATAGATAGCTACGAAGAATATAGATGAAAACTCTCTTGGTAGATAGTGTGGTCTACAGCTTATCATGAGATACTCTACCTCAGGCGAGCAAAACTTCGAGACTTCCTTAGATATCGTGCAACAGCTGTTGTTGACAAATATACAATAAACCTTGTCTTACCAGATCTCCCCTGATTGCATGTAGCTTTGACATTGGATCTCCTCTGACAGGCTGGCATATGCATTCTGTTTCTAGGACATTTGGCACATACAGTGAGGGAAAAAAGTATTTGATCACCTGCTGATTTTGTACGTTTGCCCACTGACAAAGACATGATCAGTCTAAAATTTTAACGGTAGGTTTATTTGAACAGTGAGAGACAGAATAACAACAACAAAAATCCAGAAAAACGCATGTCAAAAATGAATTGATTTGCATTTTAATGAGGGAAATAAGTATTTGACCCCTCTGCAAAACATGACTTAGCACTTGGTGGCAAAACCCTTGTTGGCAATCACAGAGGTCAGACGTTTCTTGTAGTTGGCCACCAGGTTTGCACACATCTCAGGAGGGATTTTGTTCCACTCCTCTTTGCAGATCTTCTCCAAGTCATTAAGGTTTCGAGGCTGACGTTTGGCAGCTCAAACCTTCAGCTCCCTCCACAGATTTTCTATGGGATTAAGGTCTGGAGACTGGCTAGGCCACTCCAGGACCTTAATGTGCTTCTTCTTGAGCCACTCCTTTGTTGCCTTGGCCGTGTGTTTTGGGTCATTGTCATGCTGGAATACCCATCCACGACCCATTTTCAATGCCCTGGCTGAGGGAAGGAGGTTCTCACCCAAGATTTGACGGCACATGGCCCCGTCCATCGTCCCTTTGATGCGGTGAAGTTGTCCTGTCCCCTTAGCAGAAAAACACCCCCAAAGCATAATGTTTCCACCTCCATGTTTGACGTGGGGATGGTGTTCTTGGGGTCATAGGCAGCATTCCTCCTCCTCCAAACACGGCGAGTTGAGTTGATGCCGAAGAGCTCAATTTTGGTCTCATCTGACCACAACACTTTCACCCAGTTCTCCTCTGAATCATTCAGATGTTCATTGTCAAACTTCAGACGGCCCTGTATATGTGCTTTCTTGAGCAGGGGGACCTTGCGGGCGCTGCAGGATTTCAGTCCTTCACGGCGTAGTGTGTTACCAATTGTTTTCTTGGTGACTATGGTCCCAGCTGCCTTGAGATCATTGACAAGATCCTCCTGTGTAGTTCTGGGCTGATTCCTCATCATTCTCATGATCATTGCAACTCCACGAGATGAGATCTTGCATGGAGCCCCAGGCCGAGGGAGATTGACAGTTCACCAACTGTTGTCACCTTCTCACCAAGCTGCTTGGCGATGGTTTTGTAGCCCATTCCAGCCTTGTGTAGGTCTACAATCTTGTCCCTGACATCCTTGGACAGCTCTTTGGTCTTGGCATTGGTGGAGAGTTTGGAATCTGATTGATTGATTGCTTCTGTGGACAGGTGTCTTTTATACAGGTAACAAGCTGATATTAGGAGCACTCCCTGTAAGAGTGTGCTCCTAATCTCAGCTTGTTACCTGTATAAAAGATACCAGGGAGCCATACATCTTTCTGATTGAGAGGGGGTCAAATACTTATTTCCCTCATTAAAATGCAAATCAATTTATAAACATTTTTGACATACGTTTTTCTGGATTTTTTTGTTGTTATTCTGTCTCTCACTGTTCAAATAAACCTACCATTAAAATTATAGACTGATAATTTCTTTGTCAGTGGGCAAACGTACAAAATCAGCAGGGGATCAAATACTTTTTTCCCTCACTGTAGGGGGAGGTGGGAGGAGAGTGAGGCTCCTATGAAGGGGGAGGAGTGATGGAGGGTCCAGAGAGAGAGGTGGAGGGGAGACTCCGTGGTGGTGCCGGAACAGATGTGGGACGTTCCCGCTTCAGCCGAACTGGCACAGGCCCCTCAGAAATGGAGCATGCTCATGTGTTATTTAAAAAATAAATGGTTTGATGGAATGATTTATTCATAATCTTACATTTTCATATTCATGAATTTGTCATGCAAGCAGGCAGGAGTACAATGGTATTGTATATAGAGGGTCGGGGAAACTACTTTATTGAATTGGATCAATATAATGACACAGAGTGAGTCAAACAATTACAGAGTTCATGTGTCCCCTTTAACTGGTAAACCCGACGTTTTCTGATGCATAGAGAATGTACAGTAGTTATAGCTTATCCGTATCTCTATGGGCTGTGACTGCACTGCTTAGGCATTGAGGATGGGGGATTCCCATTTTCTACTGCAGCCCGCTGAGACTAGTAAGGACTGACCCTCAGGTCACATGGAGAAGCACACATCAGCAGAAATGGTTGGCATTTATCCAATACAACCCCCTATGTTGTGGTAAGGACAGAAAAATGCCCTCTATTAACAAGATTGCGACACCTCCCCTCTGTAACCGTAACAACCCCACTGTTTCATTAGTCCTTGAGGAAACCCTTCCTGCATCTCTAATTGCCGTGGGCTGCACACTAAACTCACGAAAACTAACTGTGAACTACTCACTGGAGATGTGTGCTGGAGGTGTTTTTATGCCCACTCTGTCATATATTCACCTTTCTTCTCCTACTCCTCCTGCACCTGCTGTTTAGCTTTTCCTCAGCTCCTTATACCGTGGGTCCTTCTTGATGTCAGCTCTAACGGTCCTCCCTCGCCTGCCATTGTAATAGAATAATACAACCTAACTAAAATACAACCCAATCCCCAAGGACACAAAAATATGAGCATGTTCAAGTAATGCTGCCATACAACGGCCTGCTGGGTTTATTTCAAAGAAAGCCTAGATAAGCAAAAATAGAGGGCTCTCCTAGGCAGGCAAAGAACCCCTCTCGCCATACATATAGATATAGGCATAACTGATAGTGCAAGAGAACGCTGATGCCACAGAGTTAAAGCCAGAACCAGGATTTTTTCTGCTGAGTGTTTACCCATCAGAGATATTGGAGAGGACAACAGGGAGTGGAACCCTTCAGGCAGCCTTTGTCAGGCAAAGGATGTTAGTCCTATATACTGTAGACATAGCCTCAGGAGGCAAGCATAAAGCAAGGTAAAGTCAATAGAAACTGATCCGGATGAGAGGACAGAGGAAAATAGCAGTGTCTTACACACCACTTGTATGTATGTTAGTCTTGTGTCATCTTACGTTGACAATGTCTACTCTCCCTATAGGATCCTACCCCCGACTCTCCCTCAGCTTCAAGCTAAAGAGGAACATCGGCTATTTCATCCTGCAGACCTACATGCCCTCTATCCTGATCACAATCCTCTCCTGGGTCTCCTTCTGGATCAACTATGACGCCTCCGCTGCCAGAGTGGCTTTGGGTAGGTACTTGTTTGTCATGGATTTTTTTCATGTGACCAGTGACTAAGCTCACGACAACATTAGCCAAAGCACAAGCCTGAGGCATGGTTTAGCTACTGGGAATCCATAGTGTAAGGGCTGGATTCAATCCGTATCGTGGATGTATCACGGAAGATCCGCAATTTTTTTTAAACGGGAATTTCTGATTGAGCTAACATATGCAGCATTTACCATGAATACAGTCTCCGCGACCACGGGAACTTGCCTTTAATTGTCAATTGCGCTATAAAGCAGATCTTCAGAGCTATGGATAGAAAAGAGCCCTAACACTACATCATACTACATACTAACATAATGGGATGCTGTTTCTTTTCACAAAGATCTATAGTGGTTTTGAATCTAATCTCTAATAGTTTCACCTTGTATTGCCAAAACATATTTTGTTGAGTTCACATGAAGGACAGGGAGGATCTAAAAGATTTGTCCACATTTATGTTTTACTTTAACTTTTTCAAATCCAATAAAAAATTAAAAAATGTGCCACGATGCAGAGTAAAATAATTTAAATAAACATACAAATAGTAACATAAAAGGAACAAAATATACAAGAATGGAGCTATATACAGGGAGTACCAGTACCAGATCAATGTGCAGAGGTACGAGGTATTTGAGGTAGATACAGTTTGTTACGCTACAAATGTATTCTAAAAATATTAAATCGATTTTTTTCCTCATCAATCTATACAAAATACCCCATAATGACAAAGCAAAAACAGGTTTTTAGAAATGTATTAAAAATAGAAAATGGAAATATCACATTTACGTAAGTATTCAGACCCTTTACTCAGTACTTTGTTGAAGCACCTTTGGCAGCGATTACAGCATCGAGTCTTCTTCGGTATGATGCTACAAGCTTGACACACCTGTATTGGCGGCAGGTAGCTTAGTGGGTAAGAGCATTGTGCCAGTAACCGAAAGGTCGCTGGTTCTAATCCCCGAGCCGACTAGGTGAAAAGTATGTCGATGTGCCCTTAAGCAAGGCACTTAACCCTAATTGCTCATGTAAGTCGCTCTGGATAAGAGCGTCTGCTAAATGACTAAAATGTAAATGTTAAAATATTTGGGGAGTTTCTCCCATTTATCTCTGCAGATCCTCTCAAGCTATGTCAGGTTCGATGGGGAGCGTTGCTGCACAGCTATTTCCGGTTCTCTCCAGAGATGTTCTGGGTTCTGGGGCCACTCAAGGACATTTAGAGACTTGTCCCGAAGCCACATCTGACATTGTCTTGGCTGTGTGCTTAGGGTCATTGTCCTGTTGGAAGGTGAACCTTCGCCCGAGTCTGAGGTCCTGGAGCAGGTTTTCATCAAGGATGATATTTCCCTCGATCCTGACTAGTCTCCCAGTCTCTGCCACTGAAAAACATCCCCACAGCATGATGCTGCCACCACCATGCTTCACCATAGGGAAGGTGCCAGGTTTCCTCCAGACGTGACGCTTGGCATTCAGGCCAAATAATTACATCTTGGTTTCATCAGACCAGAGAAACTTGTTTGTCATGGTCTGAGAGTCTTTAGGTGCCAAACTCCAAGCGGGTTGTCATGTGCCTTTTACTGAGGAGTGGCTTCCGTCTGGCCACTCTACCATAAATGCCTGATTGATGGAGTGCTGCAGAGATGGTTGTCCTTCTGGAAGGTTCTCCCATCGCCACAGAGGAACTCTGGAGCTCTGTAAGCGTGACCATTGGGTTCTTGGTCACCTCCCTGACCAAGGCCCTTCTCCCCCGATTGCTCAGTTTGACCAGGCGGCCAGCTCTAGGAAGAGTCTCGGTGTTTCCAAACTTCTTCTACTTAAGAATGATGGAGGCCACTGTGTTCTTGGGGGGACCTTCAATGCTGCAGAAATGTTTTGGTACCCTTCTGCAGATCTGTGCCATCGACACAATCCTGTCTCGGAGCTCTACGGACAATTCCTTCGACCTCATGGCTTGGTTTTTGCTCTGACATGCAATGTCAACTGTGGGACCTTATATAAACTGGTGTGTGCCTTTCCAAATCATTTCCAATCAATTGAATTTACCACAGGTGGACTCCAATCAATTTTAACAACAACATCTTAAGGATGATCAATGAAAACAGGATGCACCTGAGCTCAATTTCGATTCTCATAGCAAAGGGTCTGAATACTTATGTAAATAAGATATTTATGTTTTTTATTTTTAATAAATGTGCGGAAATTTCTAAAAACCTGTTTTCGCTTTGTCATCATGGGATATTGTGTGTAGATTGCTGAGGATGTTTAGTTTTTTAATCCATTTTAGAATAAGGCTGTAACGTAACAACATTTGGAAAAAGGGAAGGGGTCTGAATACTTTCCGAAGGCACTGTATGTACATAAAGGCAGGGTAAAGTGACTAGGCATCAGGATAGATAATAATAAGAGTAAGAATAAAGAACGGAGTTGTAGCAGCATATGATGAGTGTGAAATTGTGTGTGTGTATATTTGTGTGCTTGTGTAGTGTATGTGAATGTGTGTGGGTTTTGTGTGAGAGTATCAGTGTAGTGTGTGTGTGAGTGAATATATATAGTCTTGTGAGTGTGTATAGATAGTGCATAGATAGGGTCAATGCAGATAGTCCAGGTAACCATTTAATTAACAATTTAGCAGTCTTATGGCTATTTAGCAGTCTTATGGCTTTGGTGAAGAAGCTCTCGGAGCCTGTTGGTCAGAGAGCCGATGCTCCAGCACCGTTTGCCGGATGGTAGCAGAGTGAACAGTCTATTGCTTGGGTGGCTGAAGTCTTTAGCAAATTTTTCAGGCCTTCCTATGACACCGCCTGATATAGAGGTCCTGGATGGCTGGGAGCTCGGCCCCAGTGATGTACTGGGCCGCCCGCACCACCCTCTGTAGTGCTTTGCTGTCGAGGGCGGTGAACTTGTCATACCAAGCGGTGATGCAGCCAGTCAAGATGCTCTGGATTGTGCAGCTTTAGAACTTTTTTAAATCCGAGGGCCCATGCCAAATCTTTTCAACCTCCTGAGGGGGAAGAGGCGCTGTCGAGCCCTCTTCACAACTGTGCGTGTCTGTTTGGACCATGTTAAGTTCTTAATGATGTGGATGCCAAGCAACTTGAAGCTCTCGACCCGCTCCATTACAGCCCTGTCGATGTGGATGAGGGCGTACTCTCCCCTCTTTCTCCTGTAGTTAACATTCAGCTCCTTGGTCTTACTGCCGTTGAGGGAGAGGTTGTTGTCCTGACACCACACTGCCAAGTCTCTGATCTCCTCCCTGTAGGCTGTCTCATCGCCGCCGGTGATCAGGCCTACCACCGTCGTGTCGTCAGCAAACTTGATGAGGGTGTTGGAGTCGTGCGTAGCCACAAGGTCATGGGTGAACCGGGAGTAAAGCTGGGGACTAAGCACCCACCCCTGAGGGGCCCCCATGTTGAGGTTCAGCTTGGCGGAGGTGTTGTTGCCTACCTTTACCACCGGGGGCCAGCCTGTCAGGAAGTCCAGGATTCAGTTGCAGAGGGAGGTGTTCAGTCCCAGGGTTCTGAGCTTGGTGATGATCTTGGGGGGATTATGGTATTGAACGCTGATCTGTAGTCTATGAACAACATTCTCACATAGTTAATTCCACTCTTGTCCAGGTGGTAGAGGGCAGTGTGAAGTGCAATTGAGATTGCATCATCTGTGGATCTGTTGGGGCGGTATGGAGTGGGTCCAGCGTGTTTGATATGATGGTGTTGATGTGTGTCATGACTATCCTTTCAAAGCACTTCATAATTACAGATGTGAGTACTACAGGGTGATAGTCATTTAGACAGGTTACCTTGGAGTTCTTGGGAACAGGGACAATGGTGGTCAGCTTGAAACATGTTGGGGTTACAGACTGGGACAAAAAGGGATTTAAATGTCAGTGAAGACACTTGCCAGCTGGTCTGCGCATGTTCTTAGAATGCATCCTAGTATTCTGTCTGGCCCGGCGGCCTTGGAAGTGTTAACCTGTTTATAAGTTTTACTCACATCTGCCACGGAGAGCGAGATCACATCTGGAACAACAGGGGCTTTCATACAGGACTCTGTGTTGTTTTCCTCAAAGCGAGCATAGAAGGCATTTGGCTCGTTTGGGAGTTCTGCGTCACTGGCCATCTCACTGGGTTTCACTTAATAATCTGTAATCGTCTGCAAGCCCTGCCACATTTGACGAGAGTTGGAGCCGGTGTAATAGGATTCCACCTTCCTCCTGTATTGTAATTTTGCATGCTTAATGTCTCGTTGGAGGTTGTAGCGTGCTTTTTGTATTCGTCCATGTCTGTGTCCCATTCCTTGTAAGCGGTAGAACAGATATTGCCTGTAATCCATGGTTTTTGATTTGGATACTTTCGTACATGTATAGTCACTGTGGGGAGGACGTCGTCTATGCACTTATTGATGAAGCCCGTGACTCCTCAATGCTATCAGATGAATCCCAGAACGTATCCCAGTCTGTACTAGCAAAACAGTCCTGTAGCCTCGCATCTGCTTCATCGGATCTCTTCCGTATTCAGTACATCACTGGTACTTCCTGTTTGAGCCTCTGGGTGTGTGCTTTCTTGTTTGTTCATGGCCCCATACAGTTCATTGAGTGCCAAAGTGGTGTTAGCTTGTGGAGGGATGTAGACAGCCATGATAATTATGGATGAGAACTCTCTTGGTACAAAAAAGGTCTGCAGTTTACCATGAGTTATTCTATGTCAGGTGAGCAAATGCTTGAGACATCCTGTTCTTGTTTATGAAAAGGCACACCCCTCCCCCTTTGGACTTGCCCGAGGCTGCCGTCGTCCGATTGTGCCATGTTCATAGATTGGGACCATCCAAGTTTCTGCGAGGCATATAATATTGCAGCTTTTTAAGTCTCTCTTATAGGAGACTCTCGAATGAAGCTCATCCATCTTTTTCTTGAGTGACTGGACATTTGGACAATAAAATGGAGGGGAACGCTGGTCGATTTTCTCTTCGTCTCAGTCTAACCAGGATGCCAGCCCATCTACCGCATCTACGTCTGCTGCATTTTGGTACTCCATGAAACAAAGGAATAATGTCCAGTGTGAACAAAAGAACAGCTCAGTCAGAGTTGAAGTCGAAATCGAGGTTAGTAACTGTCAATCTGATATTCAAAAGTGCTTGGCAGTCGTGTGACAATAGTATGAATTCTTGTTACACAAAAAGTAAAGATAAACACGAAAAAAGTAACTAAATAGCGAAGTCAGGTTGGAACTCGTAAGATGGCTTGGGAGAAAAAGCATGATGCAGCAGCATTACGGAACACAACATTCGAGATGCTTCCTAAAGTAGAGTGATGGATGACTGAAGTGATTTGTTTCCACTCTGATTTGAGTGCCTCTGCGTTTTAGGTTCCCTGTATTTTGGAAGTCATAATTTCTCGCTGTCATCCTTTATTGCGTAAGTCTGGCTCATGAGGTCTGCGGTGCTGCCTGCCTGCCTACATAGGATATAGAAAGCTCCATTCTCCCTCGCCTGTCCCCATCGCTGGCTCCCTCGATAAGAGCAGCACTCTCCTTGATTGGAGACTGACCTGCATTTATTTATCCGAGAGGGGAGGGATGTATGGGATTTAATGAAAACCATAAGTAATGCTTGATAATGGAGGCGGCTGGACAGGGGGTTGGTCAACCCAGATCAGACCCCAGTTCAGGAACCATTTGACTCTGTCCTGCTTTCAGTCATTATAGGCACTAACAACAAATAGAGGTGTGGCTGGTGCATTGCAAATGTGTATGGATGCAATGCCCAGCTTCTATCAACTTGTCATTGACCAGAATCAGAGGTGGACTATGAAGTCATTTACAGATTGCATGCAGAGTCAATACGGGAAAAAAAGCCTAATTAATCTGTGATAATAAAGGAGTTGAAACAAGAACATATTGAATGACATCAGTTAGCTTCACCATATAAGTAGAAAAACACCAAGACCCCTTTTATTAACAGTGAGTTGACCTCCCATTTGACTGTCGTCATTAAACAGAAATGGTTGTGAAAGCCAACAGGAGATTCCTTGTCAGTCACAGCAGTCTGCTTGCTAGCACATTCAAATGTCAAATGAAAAGCAGAACGAACCTGATGTATCTGATCCCTCAGATCTGTGGTTAAGGCTTAAGTTTCTCTCTCTGTGGGAGTCCTCTGCTAATGAGGTGGACTGTTGGTCTCCAGTGATGATCTGCGATGATGATGGGCGGTTTATTTTCCCAGGAATCACCACTGTGCTGACCATGACCACCATCAACACTCACCTGCGGGAGACCCTTCCTAAAATCCCTTACGTCAAGGCCATTGACATGTACCTGATGGGCTGCTTCGTCTTCGTCTTCCTGGCCCTGCTGGAGTATGCCTTGGTCAACTACATCTTCTTCGGCAGGGGACCCCAGCGCCAGAAGAGGGCGGCTGAGAAAGCAGCTGTAGCCAACAACGAGAAAATGAGAATAGATCCAAACAAGGTACAGTACACACCATGCACTGTACACTACCGGTCAAAAGTTTTAGAACACCTACTCATTCAAGGGTTTTTCTTTATTTTTACTATATTCTACATTGTAGAATAATAGTGAAGACATCAAAACTATGAAATAACACATATGACAGCTTTGCACACTATTGGCATTCTCTTAACCAGCTTCATGAGGTAGTCACCTGGAATGTATTTCAATTAACAGGTGTGCCTTCTTAAAAGTTAATTTGTGGAATTTTTTCCTTCGTAATGCGTTTCAGCCAATCAGTTGTGTTGTGAAAAGGTAGGGGGGTATACAGAAGATAGCACTGTTTGGTAAAAGACTAAGTCCATATTATGGCAAGAACAGCTCAAATAAGCAGAGAGAAACAACAGTCCATCATTACTTTAAGAAATGAAGGTCAATACGGAACATTTCAAGAACTTTGAAAGTTTCTTCAAATGCAGTCGCAAAAACCATCAAGCGATATGATGAAACTGGCTCTCTTGATAAACAGGAATGGAAGACCCAGAGTTACCTCTGCTGCAGAGGATAAGTTCATTAGAGTTACCAGCCTCAGAATTTGCAGCCCAAATAAATGCTTCACAGAGTTCAAGTAACAGACACATCTCAACATCAACTACTCAGAGGAGACTGTGTGAATCAGGCCTTCGTGTTCAAATTGCTGCAAAGAAACCTCTACTAAAGGACACCAATAAGAAGAAGAGACTTGCTTGGGCCAAGAAACACGAGCAATGGACATTAGACCGGTGGAAATTTGTCCTTTGGTCTGGAGTCCAAATTTGAGATTTTTGGTTCCAACTGCAGTGTCTTTGTGAGATGCGGTGTGGGTGAACGGGATGATCTCTGCATATATATTTCTCACGTAAAGCACGGAGGAGGAGATGTTATGGTGTGGGGGTGCTTTGCTGGTGACACTGTCTGTGATTTATTTAGAGTTCAAGGCACACTTAACCAGCATGGCTACCACAGCATTCTGCAGCGATACGCTAAACCCATCTGGTTTGCGCTTAGTGGGACTATCATTTGTTTTTCAACAGAACTTTGACCCAACACACCTCCAGGCTGTGTAAGGGAAATTTGACAAAGAAGGAGAGTGATGGAGTGCTGCATCAGATAACCTGGCCTCCACAATCCCCCGACCTCAACCAAATTGAGACGGCTTGGGAAGAGTCGGAGCGCAGAGTGAAGGAAAAGCAGCCAACAAGTGCTCAGCATATGTGGGAACTCCTTCAAGACTATTGGAAAAGCATTCCAGGTGAAGCTGGTTGAGAGAATGCCAAGAGTGTGCAAAGCTGTCATCAAGGCAAAGGGTGGCTATTTGAAGAATCTCAGTGTGTTATTTCATAGTTTTGATGTCTTCACTATTTGTCTTCACTATTATCTACAATGTAGAAAATAGTAAAAATAAAGAAAAACCCTTGAATGAGTAGGCGTTCTAAAACTTTTGACCGGTAGTGTACATGGTTTTCACCTTCATAGAATACCCAGTATTTTAAGGAGTAGCCCACTGGATAGATGATACAAATTACTGTATGTAATCACAGGCTTGAAAAGAACCAAATGCTCTAGGTAGTGAATCATCTTTGTGTACATTTAGATAAATTCTTAGTTTTCATACAATGCTTACTTTATAAAAATATGACTGCTTAGTCTGTCCTGTATCGTGAATCGCTGTATTAGTTGTTCCTGTCCAGTCTGTCCTCATAAATTCACTGTGATTTCACTGTGAACCCACAAACACACATGCACACTAATTTGAGAGCTGACCGTTTCAGATGAAAGCAGTGGCATGACCTGATTCTTGAGCTTTACTGTGGAATGATCTGGAATGAATCTGATGTTTTCTCTTTTTCTTCTTCGCCTTATGAAAGTGAATTTAATTATTGAAAGAACTGACTGTGAAGCTAAAAGTAGTGAAGACATGGAAGGTAATAGTGTCACCACTTCAAATGGGGGGGTAGATTAATGCTACTCTGCCTTACCGTCAAGGAGAACAAGCCTTAATAAGCCTACGCCAGTCCTGTGTTAATTCCAAATAAGGCTCTTTGCCACCTGAAACACAGGCAGAGAGAGTGATTTATCACTGTGTTCTTTTGCCTAAATGAAATGGAATGAAAGGCCAAGAAACATTTAAAGCCCCTAAGAGAGCCTGTGGAGTTTATGAAGTGAAGAGTAGTCTTCCTGTTACATTTACCTGTTTTAAGCCTTGTTTATACCTGGTGCTATTGCAGCGTTCACGTGCTAGTCGGAACTAGAAAATGTCCGACTTGCTAATAGGCTGTAGTTATGCACGTGCTGCGTTCAACCAGTTAGCAAATCGGAAATTGCAGAGTTTCCTAGTTCCGACTATTAGGTGAACACGGCATAACATGTGACCAGATTTCCTGGTCCCTCACTATATGCAGATTATTTGATAATAATATGTATTAATTTATTTTAAGGCTATTGATCCCATAGGTCAGTGGTGCTACCTGTCAATTATTTTAGAGACCGGTATAATGATGATTTAAATGGTTTGACCATCCAGATCTGTTTAGACTTGATTGTTATCCAGATACAATGGATCCTTGACTACCTCCGGAGGTGGTCAGGAAGATCTGATCACAATCCGATCACAATGCATCTTTTAATCATCTACACCTGTCAAAAAAATGTGGGCACAATCAGAATGTGGACAAGATCAAGATAAAGGACACATGTTAAAGCCAGGTATAAACGGGGCTTCTATGTCCTGAAAATTTGATTAAGTATTGTAAAAGCTTTTCTCTTAACTACATGTTAAGTGGGTTAACTGAATGAACACAGGGTGTATCAGACTCTGTTCTGTTTTCAGGTTGACACTTATAAGAGAAAAAACATGCATTGGATAGAGATTTGGATGTTGTGGACTGCATTTAAATAAAGGGATGAATAGTAGTTTCCTGTAGTACTAAATTGTGAGTAAAAGTATGTTTTTTTTCAGTGAAATGTGATAATTGCAGCAACTGCCTCTCTGACCATGGTTACATTAAACAGAATTGTCTATTTTGTGTTCCCTCTCCTAGCAGCTGACCCAAGTGACTATAATGATTGTGTATGTTTTCAGTGGTTGGTGGGAAATGTAGTTCAGAGAGACGATACTCTGTATGCGAGAATGAAACAGAGGGATATTGACGCTCATGACTCAATGTGGGAACCAATCTTTGTGGACGATGCAGCGATGGGACTAGGCGAGCAAAAGAATAAGGTACTTGATTAACAATTGATAGTGACAACATACAGTAAAATGCACAGTAAAAAGAACCCAACTAGAACCACTTTTGTATTTCCTTTACACCACTTATTAAATTGTACCTATAGTTTCCACCACCATCATTGTCCTCCCCTCCACTTTTAGACACTGTTTTCCACATTCTAAACACATTTTCATTTTATGTACTTATCTGCCGGACTATATATGGTAACATCTAGCAAATAAACACTGTGATTGATAGCTTCCCATTTTAGTAGATGGTGAATACATGATAAGCTTCACTGTGCAATCATGTGTGAAATTCACCTTGCCCTTTCTGTCCTCAACCCTCTACCATATGGTATTGTACATCTTCTGGAAAATGGCGGAAAAGCACCTCGTCTTTCCAGGGAGGGAATTATCGGCAGTGGTGGAAAAAGTACTAAATTGTCATACTTGAGTAAAAGTAAAGATACCTTAACAGAAAATGACTAAAGTAAAAGTGAAAGTTACCTAGTAAAATACTACTTGAGTAAAAGTCTAAAAGTATCTGGTTTTAAATGTACTGAAGTACAGTGGTATAAAAAGTACTCTGTTGTCATACTTCAGTAAAAGTAAATGCTATACATCAAATTCCTTATATTAAGCAAACCTGACAGCACAATTTTCGTATTATTTTTGATTACGGACAGACAGGGGCACACTCCAACACTCAGACATCATTTACAAACACAGTATTTGTGTTTTGTTTGTCCGCCAGATCAGAGGCAGTAGGGATGACAAAGCATTATATTGATAGGTGCCATATTTCTGTCCTGCTTGAGCATTCTAAATGTAACGAGTACTTTTAGGTGTCAGGGAAAATGTATGGAGTAAAAAGTACATTATTTTCTTTAGGAATGTAGTGGAGTAAAAGTAAAAGTTGTCAAAAATATAAATAGTAAAGTAAAGTACAGATACCCAAAAAACGACTTAAGTAGTACTTAAAACTATTTTTACTTAAGTACTTAACACCACTGTTTACCGGTGGCGCTAGCCACATGGCATGTGGGGTTGAGGTGGTCAGCCAGAGACGACTCCACCGGGAGAAGAGTGAAAAACCCGGATTCCTCCATTCCTAGCATGTCCAGGCAAGGGGTGTTGAGTTGAAGGAACAAAATAGCAGGCACAATTACAAACATATTTAAATCTAGTATTGGATGACTAAAACTACTTATACGACACAAAGTGTAAACAGTGATAAAGATAAAAGACAGTGACAACACCAGTGTTGGTGTTTATCACCATCACTGTTTACACTTTGTGTCATATAAGTAGTTTTAGTCATCCAATACTAGATTAAAATATGTTTGTAATTGTGCCTGTTATTTTGTTCCTTCAACTCAACATTGTCAGGGAGTATAACTCACTGAAAGAAAGAAGTAAATACAGTATGTCTTTCACATTCTATGGTAAAAGGGACCCACAGTTCACCCAAATAAACATTAATTAATTAATATAATTTATTATTTTTTTTAATTATCAGGAGGGGCTGTTATAAAATTGTTAAGAGGGATTTCTTGGTATGGATTCTAAATGAAGACATTAGACCTCAGGCTATTCATTCATTGCTTGTAGCATAATTAATAATACATATTAAGAGTTTCAATCCAAAACTATAAATCCATTTTCAGAAATGTTGGTAAATTAGCTTTTATTGTTTAAAGAACATATGAAAGAGATTGGTTGTTTTTTTCACCATCTAATCATGGCATGGCAGACATGTATTTATTTGAAATCTATCACTTGATGGTTTCATTTCAGAGAGACAAATAATCCAGATAATTAAGTAGTACTGCTAGGTTCCATTTAAAATATATAGTTTTGATATCACACTTATGGGGATTCACTCTAGCGGAATCTCTAACTGAAGTACCAATCACAGCATCTGTTGGAGACAGACAGGTCGAGAGGCGAATGAGTTGAGCCCCGAGGTTGACACTAAGAAATGTAGGACTCCAGCTCCTGTCGATAGTGTTGAGTACTGACCGAAAGGAAAGTTTTGCTTCAAGTATAATTAATTTCCTACTCCTAGCTATCGAGAGTTGGTGAATCCTTGCCAAAGGGCTTTAGCTAACTTGGCTAGCTAGCTGGAAAGCTAGCTAACCACACCATCATTACTACCTGCAACATGGTACTATTGTTAGCTCCCTTCTCTCATCTAATTTTCACTTACGTTTACTCGTGTTAATTAGACCGACTGATTGCCTCACAGCTCTACGGTTGTGGGAGTATATCTACCCAAAAGCGAATTGCCCCAACGCGGTTCCCTTCAGCTAGCACTGTACTAGCTACGAGGTAACTGCTAGCTAGCTAACGCATTACTAGCCTCGCGGCTTAGTGTTCACACAGTGCTCACCCTAGCTAGCATTAGCCGCAAGGCTTCTAATTAGCTAGCTCCCGCGTAACAACAGGCGTCTTCATATCAGCAAGCCCTGCTCTGTACAATGGCTACTGCTGCCCCATCCCAAGGCGAACCTAGCCAGGCACTCAAACCCTCAAGTTCTTTTGCTTGCGTTTCTATGATTGCGGTGAAGGATTTTCACCTTCTATGCATCAATTGCCTGGGAAGGGAACATGCTCAGGCAGCACTCGATGACCTCAAGTCCTGAGAACATTGTAAAGTACTGACTAGAGTCGATTCCATCCCCTCACTGTCTGACGAATTGGTGCCAGGGAAGGTGAGCTATGGGATGACGAGGACAATGGCGGGATTCATCTCGTGGGTCTCCTCGACTTTGAAACTGAGATGGAGGGTGAAGACACCACTCTTCCATCACCAGTCCCCCAGGATGGAGGAGCTGCAAATCTCCCCCACTTGAAATTTGGGCTCTTTGACATTTGCAAGCGAGCCACAGCCAAACTCGGCATCGAGTGGCCGGCTCCCTTGTGAGGTTAGGGTTCCGTAAGGGACCTGTACGATGGGAAGAGTCTTCCATACCACTCGGCCCCAGTCAAGCAACTGCTTCTCGCAGTACCCTCTCCAGCAAGATCCAGGTTAGTGGTGCCCCTTGCCTGGACATGCTAGGAATGGAGGAATCCAGGTTTTTCCACCCTTCCCCCAGTGGATCCGTCTCTTGCTGACCACTTCAACCCCACATGCCATGCTGCTAGTGCCACCAGTAATTCCCTCCCTAGAAAGACGAGGTGCTTTTCAGCCTCCATTTTCCAGAAGACGTACAAAGCCTCGGCCAAGTCAATCAGAGCACTTAATGTGACCTCTTTATTGTTGGCATATCAGGCTGAGTTACTGGAGGAGATGGGGAAAGAACTGGATTTGGATACCCTAAATCCAGATACTTGAGATGAGATCTGTATGATTACAAACCTTAACATCCACGCCATCCTTAGCGCCATCCAAAGCTGTGGTCACACCATAAGCGGTAGTGGGAGAGATGGCACTTTGGTTAAGCCTGTCCAGCTTAACAGACAAAGAAAAAGTGGAGCTGCTGGATGCCCCAGTGACACCCAACGAGTTGTTTGGGCCCACTGTCGCCGCTATGCGGCAGAAGTGTGACATGCATAAGAAAGAAGGCGAAGCCTTCCCCACAAACCCGGGCCCTGTGGCAGCCCGTTGGTCACAGCAACCTGCTCCACAGCGGATAAGGGGCAACAAGCTGGGCAAGGCGCAACACGCTGTGGACGCTGCAAGGTTCCGCCCTCTCAACCCCCCGAAAGGGGGCATGAAGGGCCAGCCAACTTAGGGTGCAGCCCTAGCGGCAGAGGAATATTGTGTCCCTGCCCTATCCAGACTCTTTCGTGTTCAACGTGAGCCACTCTCTCCTTATGCGAGTGCGTTTTGAATAGACCCCGTTCACTGTGTAGCAGCACATCCCATTTAATTGCTCACATGGGAATGTGGAGGAGAAGCACTTTACCCCCGATTGCCATCCCCCTATAGGCTCTCCCCTCGTCACCCTCAAAAATCAGGTTCCAGCCAGGGATGAAAGTCAGCATGTCTGTTACTCCTGAGTCTGCAACGCTCTGACGTTTTCCTATTTACACTGCACTTGATTCATGCAGTGGGGCCTGTGCCCGCTCTACCTCTCCTAGCCGGGAGCGAGCGGCTGGGGAAATGTTTGTTATTGATAGCCCTACTTTCTGAGGGAGGGCCAGACAGACCAGGCACATAGCTAGCTGTTCTACCGGATTAGGATTAGGACATCTGGGTCACCAGGATGTTTCCTTCTTCCTTTTAGCTACATTGGTTGACGACTTACGTCATTGTGTCGGCTACTCTCTTGCACGAGCACCCGCTCGGTGACACAGTATACCTATGCCTGTTGCCACTCTACTGAGGGCACAGTCCTAGAGGATCAAGCATGTTTTGAGAAAAACACTATGCATATGCCTCGAACACATTACGAGACAGCCCAGTTAACTGGGATACTCTCTGCCCTTGCGGTGTTATCAACTTCTGAGAGTCCGTTTTTTGCATCTATCCAGACTGACTCCACATGAGAGTAGTTTGGAGGCTCCATCAATATATGGTGGTAACGTACCTCTAGGGATGTACCTGTAATGTACCTTTGCTTCTGTCAAGGGTGATGCCCCACACTTTCCCTCCGTTAGCAGAGTGAGGTAACAGGCTTATCTCGATGACCAGGGATGCCCTGGTTGGCGGAGATCACTCTCCTGCTAACAACCATCCCTGGCGGTTGCCGTTACGCAGGGATCGTCAGACCCATGCATACTGAGAAATGGACCACCCTCACCCAGTGCAATGGCCCTCTGGCCGTGGCCCGTGAGATGTAAAGACTGAATGCGACAGACCTACCACTCGAGATCATCAGAATCCAGAATCTTTACGCTCACTGTGGAAACTAGTAATGTGCTTTTGAGAAGTGGTATGACCTGAACAGATCATTATCTTAATGCTCTGTATCCAGGACTTTTTATGCCTCATCGCCCAACCTTTCTTTTACAAAAGAAAACATGTTTACAAATAAATATCAATACAGTAATATGAGATCTGTATGTAAAATATTTACATTTGAGTCATTTAGCAGATGCTCTTATCCACAGTGACTTAGAGTTAGTGCATTCCTCTTAAGATAGCTAGGATGAGACAACCACAAATCAGAGTCAAATATACAGGATAAGAACATTGCATACCAGCTAAACTGAGTGTACAAACCATTAGGAACACCTGCTCTTTCCATGACATAGACTGACCAGGTGAATCCAGGTGAAAGCTATGATCACTTAAAGGACATACAGCCAACTTGACACAACTGTGGGAAGCATTGGAGTCAACATGTGCCAGTATCCCCGTGTAATGCTTTTAAAATCTAAAAATAATGAATAAAAGATTCTGAGAACAGTGATATTTTATACTCACATGAAGGTACCCATAAGCAATCATTTCTGATGAAAAAAAAACGTACAAAATTGGTGGATATAGCATTTTGTAACTAAACTCTTTATATCATTTCTCACCTTCTAGATGGACCCACACGAAAACATTCTACTGGGCACCATAGAAATTAAAAATGAGATGGGAGCGTCGGAGCTGACCCTTGGTCTCAGTGACCCCAGGAGCACAATGTTAACTTATGACAGCTCCACCCTGCAGTACCGCAAAGCAGGGCACAACTTTGGACGCAACACTCTGGAGCGTCATGTGACTCAGAAGAAGAGCCGGCTACGGAGGCGTGCTTCCCAGCTGAAGATCAACATTCCCGACTTGACTGATGTAAACTCTATCGACAAGTGGTCGAGAATGATCTTCCCCACTGTCTTTTCCTTGTTCAACATTATCTATTGGCTCTACTACGTCAACTAAATGGACTTCAGCAAGGGCAGAACAAAACAAACAACAACAAAAATGTTGCTTGTTTTTCTCTGAATTGTTATCATTTTGCTGTTTGTTCTTGCAACACAAGACTGAATTACTAAAACAAAATCAGGACTGATTCCATTTGACCTTGGAACACCTTAATTGCTGGCTAACACATGAAAACCTTAAAGGAGAGAAAGATTAAGAACATATATGGTGCCTGTACTAGAGTTTATGATTATAATTTTACAAGTAGAATATTTAGTAAATATAGTATTTTATCATTTTTTATGTTTGTTTGCGTATGTGTTTATGTTATATTTGTACAATCTATATCTAATTTGTTGCCAAAACATAGTTAGAAATATTAATGATATATTGATTTTAAAATGACTCACAGACCACAAAGACATTCCTTAAAATAGCTACAAGCACATTCAGGTAAATCTTTTCTAAGATTCATTCCTTCAAAGAGGCAGATGTAATAATATTTATCCTAGAATTGATTTTGTCTCTATATTGTGAAGTTTCACATGTTAATAGTATTGCAATATTAAGTAATAGTATGAGGGTTTTAGGATTATCCAACCTTTTCTACTTTGATATAGTTGACAAATCATATAATTTATTTTAAGCATTATTTCAATTCTAAGAAAACATTTGATAGTGTAGTAGATATTTTTTTTAAAACAGAAACTTACATCATTCCAAACCTTGACAGAATAAACTAGAAGGTAAAGCTTATAGACTATTCACATTGAAAGCTAAAGCACACCTTACAGAGAAATGTATCACCAAGCCTTTGATTCCTGATTTGACATTGTTTTCTTAGCTTATTCACTCAGAAAAGGTACAGAATATTCACTTGATTGATTAACTTTCAAGCCCCCTGTCAACTGAGAAGTTGAATATATTGCAAAAAAGTGAAAGAAGCAGAGAGAAACTGAGAAAGAGAATGCTGCATTAGTCATCAAAGCAGTTTAAGAGTCAGTGATACAGGGACGGCTACTGTATATGATCAAAGATATCTCAAAGATAAATGCACAAATGTGTATCTGAATATTGTCCTTTGTCCATTTCAGTCCTTTGTTCACATATCCTTAAGATTACAGGATACAATTATGTATTTGTTCATAATTGCTCTGCATATAGATATACAGAAACAAACATTGGCTCTAGTTTGTTAAGAAAACATCAGATAACATCTGATATGTCATTCCAATTCCTAATGACTGATGACATTGAGCCAGCAGTTAAGGCGTCTATCATGGGCATTTCGTGATGCATCACAAGCCATTATTTTCGATCACCATGATGTGTAAATATCTCTTGTATATGATTGTTTAAAAAGGAATGATATCTATCACAGTTCCAGAGGATCCATCCAGCATATGTCCATGACATAATTCTCTTCAGGAAGCTGGAAGGATTTGAATGACGGTTTTGAGCAGCTCCACATACTTTAAATATACATTCAGTCATTACTGCCATTTATTTTTCAAGCATGCAGGTTTCGATATTAACCATACAAAAGAAAGAGTGTGAAAGAGAGAAAAGCCTGCTCTGCAAGCTGGTAAGATAAACCAGAATACATAAAAGCACAATAATGCTCCAAATCTCAATTGAAAAGGGACTATCCTCTTTTTTTTAAAGATATGTTTCTTTTTGGTTATCAATGCATTCCATTACTCTACTTTTCTGCCAAATGATTACTATAAGTATACTGTAACAATACTACGTTTCTGTCGGTTTTTTACCTTATTGGTGAAACTCCATAAAGAATCACCCCTAGGTATGGCATTGCCGGTAGTAGAATCAGCATTCAACATACAGTGCATTCGGAAAGTTTTCAGACCCCTTGACTTTTTCCGCATTTTGTTACGTTACAGCCTTATTCTAAAGTGGATTACATTGTTTTTCCCCCCTCATTAATCTACAAACAATACCCCATCATGACAAAGCAAAAACTGTTTTTTATAACATTTTGCAAATGTATTACAAATAAAAAACAGAAATATCACATTTGCATAAGTATTCAGACCCTTTACTCAGTACTTTGTTGAAGCACCTTTGATAGCGATTACAGCCTCAAGTCTTCTTGGTTATGACGCTACAAGCTTGGCACACCTGTATTTGGGGAGTTTCTCCCACTCTTCTCTGCAGATCCTCTCAAGCTCTGTCAGGTTGGATGGGGAGCGTCGCTGCACAACTACTTTCAGGTCTCTCCAGAGATGTTCGATTGGGTTCAAGTCCGGGCTCTGGCTGGGCCACTCAAGGACATTCAAAGACTTGTCCTGAAGCCACTGCTGCATTGTCTTGGCTGTGTGCTTAGGGTTGTTGTCCTGTTGGAAGGTGAACCTTCACCCCAGTCTGAGGTCCTGAGCGCTCTGGAGCAGGTTTTCATCAAGGATCTCTCTGTACTTTGCTCCGTTCATCATTCCCTCGATCATGACTAGTCTCCCATTCCCTGCCTCTGAAAAACATCCCCACAGCACCATGCTTCACCGTGGGGATGGTGCCAGGTTTCCTCTAGACCTGAAGCTTGACATTCAGGCTAAAGAGTTCAATCTTGGTTTCATCAGACCAGAGAATCTTATTTATCTTGGTCTGAGAGTCTTTAGGTGCCTTTTGGCAAACTCCAAGCGGGCTGTCATGTGCCTTTTACTGAGGAGTGGCTTCCTTCTGGCCACTCTACCATAATGGCCTGATTGGTGGAGTGCTGCAGAGATGGTTGTCCTTCTGGAAGGTTCTCCCATCCCCACAGAGGAACTCTGGAGCTCTGTCAGAGTGACCATCGGGTTCTTGGTCACCTCCCTGACCAAGACCTTTCTCCCCCGATTGTTCTGTTTGGCCGGGCGGCCAGCTCTAGGAAGAGTCTTGGTGGTTCCAAACTACTTCCATTTAAGATTGATGGAGGCCACAGTGTTCTTGTGGACCTTCAATGCTTTTGGTACCCTTCCGCAGATCTGTGCCTTGACACAATCCTGTCTCGGAGCTCTACGGACAATTTCGTCTACCTCATGGCTTGATTTTTGCTCTGACATGCACTGTCAACTGTGGGACCTTATATAGACAGGTGTGTGCCTTTCCAAATCATGTCCAATCAATTGAATTTACCACAGGTGGACTCCAATCAAGTTGTAGAAACATCTCAAGGATGATCAATGGAAACAGGATACACCTGAGCTCAATTTCGAGTCTCATAGCAAAGGGTCTGAATACTGATGTAAACAAGCTATTTTATTTTTATTTATTTTTATACATTTGCAAAAAAAAATCTAAAAACCTGTTTCGCTTTGTCATAATGGGGTACCGCTTGTAGATTGGCTGTAACGTAACAAAATGTGGAAAAAGTCAAGGGGTCTGAATACTTTCCGAATGCACGTTATATTAAGAAACGTCAAAAACATTTTTGACACCAAAACACACTATAATGTAAGAATACTACTTTCCTGTCTGTTTGTTTACCTTATTAGTGAAACTCCATGAAGAATCGTACAAATGTTGGAATTACCATGTTTGTCCGCTGACTTTATAAAACAACATTTTGCACACACCGATACAAAAGCCATAGTGGCTGTATAGTGGCTGTATAGTAGGTGTTACCAAACAACTTGGTGCTCCCTCCAAACAGAAATCGTTTCAAGAATGAGACTAGAACATTACAATGTCTCTCTTATGCTTCTTGGAAAATGTATGGAAACAAAAACAGGGATAACTGCACAAATATTATAAATGTGATTTCTGGTCATGCCACCCCTAGATGATCGGTAACAGTAAAATATAGAAAACAAGTCCATGAACATTTCAATTATCATTAAATGCAGATGTAGTGACATCACCTCAAGTTCAATTGCATGTTTTCAATATCATTGATATTCACAACATATGTCAGATTGCATTTCATCTGCATGCACTTTTCTCAATACTATCAACTTGTGTCCTTTTCCTTCTCTTTTTTTGTGCTTTTGATAAGGTCCTCTAACGCAGGGGTTCCCAAAGTGCAGGGAGTCCACGGCCAGATATCTAATATTTGTTTTCCATTTGAGTGTTTTATGAATATGTGACCGACCGCCTTGATTCAGTCTTATGTAGCAAAATTTGAAATTGTGTTTTTTACATTGGATAAAAGCAGAGACACAGAGCTCTGGTATATCTACACAAATGGTAGATCATACACTGCATTTAAGGGAACAATGGGAAAGTAATTATGCTTTGAAAGTAGATAAACTTGTAATCTCACTTTTGAGAAAATGGCCTTTGAATATTTTGGTACGTAGTGAAGAGCTCTTCTAAGTCTACACCCATTAAGCATCGTTCACATTCTCTTAAGCATCAGCCCCACCCATCTCGTTTCGCTCTCGGAGCGTTCAGAGCGCACACTTGACGCTCTCTCCAATGTGTAAGGTTGATCCGAGCGTTCTGACCTCACAACGGCAGTCAACCACCCAAGCTAACTGGCTAACATTGGCCAGCTTGCTATTTACTTTCAGACACAACACTGGGATTATGGAGCCTAACCAGCTCTGATGGCAACAATTTAATTACGCTTTTTTGCCGACGTTTACTGACACCGGCCATATTCAATGGGTGTTGTGTGTTCGTAAGTTCATCACTTATTCTGCGCTCTGGCATACTAAGACTGCATTTACAAACACACCCGAAATTGTTTCTTGCATAGTGGAGTCTTTTGTTAAGACATGTAGCTAGCTAGCTAGCTAGCTAGGTAAACAATGAACCTAGCTAGGTAAACAACGTCACGTAACATTAGCTAGCGAGCCAGCCAGCTAATGTTAGCTAGATAAACAATTAACCATAGTGCCAACTCATGTCGTTACTACCCTGCATGAATCTGCTGGTAGCTAACCAACCAGGTTCAATGTTAGCTAGCTAACATTAGGCTCTAACTAGCCAAGCAAACGGCTCTGAGATACGAATAATAACATCATACACGTAATGTTAGCTAGCAAGCCAGCCAGCTAACGTTAGCTAGCTAGCTAACA